CAATTATTAGGACATCCCGCCCAATCGGCATCACAATAAGCGATGAGTTGAGGGGATCCTTTGCTGAGATGAATTCCATAAGTGGGGGTGGATTTGAGATAACGAAGAATTCTCTTAACGGCTGTGAGATGAACTGTAGTAGAAGCATGAAGGTATTGGCAAACCTGGTTGACAGCATAAGTGATGTCTGGCCTAGTCCAGGTCAAGTATTGTAGGGCACCTACAATAGAGCGGTAAGTGGTTGGATCAAACAGTGGAGAACCTGTTTGGGAGTCTAATTTGGAGATGGTGGCTGGAGATGGGTATGATTTTGCATCAATCATGTCAGTCTTTTTGAGGAGATCAACAGTGTATTTTGTTTGGCTAAGAAAAAGCCCTGAGAAATCACGGTGCACTTCGAAGCCCAAGAAGTAGTGAAGGGGTCCTAAATCCTTTATTGCAAATTGTGTACTGAGTTGGGAAATAAGAGTGGTGCAGTAGGTGGAGTCACTGCCAATGATGACAATGTCATCAACATAAACAAGGAGAAAGGTGGCAGTGGTATCTATTTCGATAAAAAGGGATGTGTCTACAGTGGATGTCTTGAAGCCCAAGGAGAGAAGAGCATCTTGTAGTTCCTCATACCAAGCTCGAGGAGCTTGTTTAAGACCATATAAGGAACGATGCAACTGACAAATATAGTGTGGATAGTGAGGATCTGCAAAACCTAGAGGCTGCATCATAAACACTTGTTCTTGAAGATAGCCATGGAGAAATGCATTGGACACATCAAGTTCGAAGATTGGCCAATTGTTCTGGACAGCCAATGACAGCAGGATTCGAATGGTTGTCAGTTTGGCAACGGGGCTGAAGGTTTCAGAATAGTCAATGCCCTCAAGTTGATTAAATCCCTTTGCGACAAGCCGGGCTTTATAGCGCTCAACGGAACCATCAGCATGCTGCTTGATCCGGAAGACCCATTTACAGTCAACAAGGTTGTGAGTATTACTAGGAGGGACAAGGGTCCATGTGTTTGTCTTATGAAGGGCAGCAATTTCATCTTGCATGGCCTGTAGCCATTTGGGGTCCTAGGCTGCTTGTTTTTATGTAGAAGGGATTTTGGGAGATGAGGAAGTGGTAAGGTGAGGGTGGGATTGGGTAGATGATGTTGGAGACAGAGGTGGGGAATGAGGTTGAGGAGATGCAGGGCAAGGGGGTTGGGGATTTAAATAAGTAGATTGTGGAGGAGGAATGGGAAGATATGAAGATGAGTGAGGATGGGCAGAAGCTTGGGAAGCTGAAGGGGAAGGGCTTGGGTCAGTAAAGGGAAAATGATGTTCGTCAAATACCACATGATGAGAAACATATACGCGGCCAGAACTTGGATCAAGGCATCTGTAGCCTTTTGGATGGACACCATATCCAATGAAGATGCACAGTTTGCTCCAAAATTCAAGCTTGTGAGAGGAATACGGGCGGAGCCAGGGATAGCAAGCACAACCATACGCCTTGAGAAATTGGTAGTCAGGAGTACAGTTGAACAGTTTCTGCAATGGACTGGTTTTCTGCAAAGAAAGCGAAGGCAAACGATTGATTAGATACACTGATGTCTGAGCGATCTCAACCCAATATTTGATTGGCAGATGAGACTGCGCAAATAGGGTGCGAGTAAGCTCAATTATATGTTGGTGTTTACGTTCAGACATGCCGTTTTGTTCAGGGGTGTGAGGGCATGTAAGTTGCTGAATTATGCCATGAGAGGCTAGAAATTGGCGAAAGTGTGTGCTAGTAAATTCACAACTGTTATCACAACAAACTGTCTTAATTTTCATATTAAATTGATTTTCAACCAGAGACTTAAACTGTTGAAAAATTGAAAAAACATTAGATTTAGCGTGAAGGGGGTAAAGCCAAGTAAATCTTGAGAAATCATCTATGAAAATTATGTAAAATTGATATCCAGATACAGAGGGGACAGGGGAAGGCCCCCAAACATCGATGTGTATTAATTCTAAAGGAGATGAAGTAGTGGTGCTAGATGTGCCAAAAGGTAACTTGGAACTTTTGCCTAATTGACATTCTTGACAAATGGATGGAGAAGAGGAAGAGCCTTGGAGAGGAAGACGATAGCGAGAGATGATGTGTTGAACAGTGACAGAGGAGGGGTAACCCATTCGCTTGTGCCATAGGGAAGAAGGAGCCTTGGTACTGAGAAGAGCAGCAGGTGGGGACTTGTGAAAAATTGAGAAGTTGATAGGATATAGGTGACCATCAGTGGGGCCACGATAAAGAAGGTGCCCTGAAGCTAGATCCTTCACAAGACATTCAAAAGGAGTGAACATTAGTATGCAATGATTATCACAAACAAAGCGATGCACAGATAACGGATTCTGAGTAATGCAAGGGACATGTAAAATATTGTTTAATTTAAAAGAGGAATTAGAGGCAGAGGCTATGGAGGAACCAGTATTAGCAATTGGTAAACCTTCACCGCTACCAGCGAGGACTTTGTCATGGCCTTGATATGGGAGCTGGTGAGAGAGATTATGAAGGTCAGGAGTGACATGGTTGGTTGCACCAGTATCGGCATACCAGAGGGAGCTAAAGGGTGGAGGAGAGTGGGTAGCAGTCATGGCAGTGAAGCGAGGAGGAGGGGAGCGCCCTTGATAGGCAAAGTTGGAGCGATGGCGACACTCGATAGCGGTATGGTTGAGTTTGTTGCAAATTTGACATCTGATTTTGGGGGTTTGACGGAAGCGATTTTGGGATGAGTGGGGAAAGGTATTGGGCTGAAGGAGATATGGTGGAGTGGATGGGGTGGGTAGGAAAGGTGGGCTGGACGTGTATTTGAGAGGATTTGGGCCATGAGAAGGTCGAGAAGAGGTGGGCCTGAAATTGGTATGAAAGGCTTGAAAGGGGGCATGTGGGTTAGGAATGGGGGTTAGGGATTCGCGCTGCAGAATTTCAATCTCCTCACTAATCAGGAGGCCATGGAGAACATCAGGGTCGATGGGGTCAGAGCGGACTCTAATCGAAGTACCAAAAGAGTCATACTCGGGTGGTAGGCCACGAAGAATGTGAGCAATGAAGTCAAGATCGTCAAGGGGTGCTCCGGCGGCGGCGAGACTATTGGCAAGGGCCTTGATTTTCTCAAGATAGTGCATCGTTGGGTCTGAACCCTTCTTTAGGGTTTGGAGCTGACCCTTAAGCTGAAGGATATGGGAGCGAGTGATGGCAGCGAAGCATTTTTCCAAGTTGTCCCAGAGAGACTTTGCAGAGGAGCAACCCACTGTATAAGGGAGAACAGACTCAAAGATGGCAGCATGAAGCCAAATTTTGCAGGTACGATCTCGGGCAACCCATGTAGGATAAGCAGGATTAGATTGAAGGGTAGGAAGAAGTCTGAGGGGCATGGGTCAGAACCATCAAGAAGGCCAAAGAGATCAACATTTTGCAGAATTGGAGTAAAGAGGGATTTCCAGAGAAGATAGTTATCCCTGTTGAGTTTGACAGGGATGAGAGTGGCGATGTGGTGGGAGGGAATGGCAGAAGCTGAAACTAGGGAGAGAGAGGACGAGGAGGAAGAAGGGAGAGGAGGAGGTTGAGAGTCAGAGGAGGCCATAGGAGGATAGTACCGTAGGGTTTTAGCATGCTGATACCATGTGAAGAATTAAGAACAGAGAAAAGAAAAAGGTTGGAATTGTATTTCTCATTCATACTTGTACAGTGAAAATAACACTGTTTATATACAATTGAAAAGAATAATTTAGAATAGAATTGGTTACAAAGAATACGGAGATGATGACAGGTGTTTGGTGGATATATGACTAGTCGGTTCCTTCTCTTCTAGAATATTGATGAGCTGGAGATTGTATGCATTGGATTCCATTGCTCTGTATTTACTCTTGACTACACCTGTTATTATATACTCTATTTATCACTAGTAATGTATGGTTTTGCAGTATAATCTCAAATATTACTGTGTGAGTGGAATTGAGCACATTGAGAGGCAGTTCTTGGTCTGTATGTAACTCTGTAAGTACAGATTTGCCAATGGTTCCTCGATTTTGTAGATTGAAAGTGTTGGGTTTCATCAGCTTAACATACCCCTTTTTATTGAATGCCTGACCAATTATATGCAAAGAAAACTTTAAGGAAAAAAAAACATGAAATACAAATGGTTTTTTTTCTTTTAAATTTTCCTTATTCAGAAATAAAGGAGTAAAATATAACTTCATGGAAAAGAAGGTATTAGCGTATACCAAAAGCATTTCTTCATTTGGAATAACATCTATGTCATCAAGGTGTCCTCCAGCATTGAACGCCTTGGACTGGAAAACTTGCTTTTTAACTCATTTGCTTCTTTTTCAATTTGCACCAAATGGAGGCAATTAAAGTATCTTCCCTAGAAACGATAGGTATGTCTAAACATAACGTGTAATGAAAAATTCAGACACGAAATTGGGTAAGGTGTAAGCCGGGGAATCTTGCAACTAGAGTTATATATGACTTCACAAGTTGTTATTAAGTTTTCAAATTAGGGCATTCAACCCAAAATCAATTGGCAATAGGAGGCCCATATTTCATGGCTTCAGCTTGGGAAGCAGTACTGTGAACACAGTTGATTCGCTAAGGAATACATTTAAGAAAAAGTAAATCAAAACACCGGGATATGGACAGAATACAGATCTAAAAGTCTGCATTACAGAGCTCATTTCAAAGGAAATTGGAATAACAAAATTGGAAAACATTATTACATTCTGTTACTAACTGGAACTCTCATCTACTCCCAATAAAGCCTCGCTGAGTAAGGCATTTAATAAACCCTACCCCTAAGAACCAAGTTCGAAAAAAATAACAGATTATTGGAAGGTTCTGATTAGTTAAACCATAAGCATCCTACTTCTGTCGCACTAGACCCCAGGTGCCAAAAAAAATTTCACATGTTATAGGAAAGAAATTTCAATGATCAAAAGAAGCAAACACAAAGCACATGACAAAAAATCTACTGCACCAAAAAATGTTCCTCGCAGCAGAAGCTAGAAAGCAAAAAGAAAAAAAAAACTGAAAAACAACGCATGCAGAACAACAGATGTTTAATGACAAAGCCAGAAAATCATGTCTCAGTGCTTTTGAACCACCACTTCTACTCAAGTTGAAGAAAATGAAAAACTCAAAAACTTAGGGGAGCTCACCGCTCCTTAGACCAGATGATGCAATTGCATTGCTAGAAGATTCTCTTAGTATACGAATTACTGCATCCAAATTATCCAGGCCCACAACAATGCCCTATTTCAACAAGAAAATACATATGAACTATGAGTTGTAGTGTGGTGACATAAATATAAATCCAGTAAAATAGTCACAATCACACAGCAGTACACAAAGACAAGCTACCAATAACTTAATGCTAGAATATTCTTATCTCAATACAACAATGGATGAGTCAGGCATCAACACTTAGGAGTGAAGAACCAAATATTAACCGCTCACTGTATGCTTTAAAACCAAAAGTGCAAAATTAAATAAAAAACAGTAACCAGGTAGGTATGAGGTAAGACAAACTATCCATGATTTGAAGCCATTAAATGTCCCAACAGAGTAATACGAAAGCAGAGCAAAAACATTATCCATGAAATCAGAATCTAAATTTTCCAATAAACATTTTGCTGAATAGACTTACATAGTTAATAGAAGCAGGGACTCAAAAGCCAATAAGTATAAGCCAGGGGCCTCAAGAATTTGAACTAACCAACCCGTGGAAGTGAAATATTTTTGAATTACAAAAAAGTTTGCCACACTAGATCAACAACATATTTTTGAATTACTCAAATGGCAATTTAATAAGGCATATATCTTCAGATGATGGCCTCTTGACAGTTTATCTTTTTCTTTCGACATGGAGGTCTCTTCAAAGTTTGGACAATACCTTTCTGCTTTTAAGTTTTGAATGCGTTCAAAGAAATCATAAGAATTTCACTATCCAAGAACACTTTCCAAATTGTAGTTGATTTCAATGCATCACCTCTTGTCAATTTTTTCAAAGACACTACAATACTGGTCAAACTGTCAGTACCTAAAAGTGCCTCATGTGGTTCCTCTACAAATAATACTTACATTAAAGGAGACAAAGCAGTGTAGTAAAAACAAAAACACATAAAAAACCATATAAAGTCAAGTAAGAACTGATGAAAACAGCAGCCCAAGTAGCGTGAATTACAAAATGATTTCTTAAGGGAAAACAAATTCCAGCAAGAAAAACAGTTTCTTGAAATAGCTTACCTACAAATATATTAAAATAGAATATACGCATGAGTGAGCAAGTGGGTCAGTGGGTGGGCATTTATACTAAAGAGATTAAACTTAGGTAGTCACCTGCAGCAACTCCTTTAGACCCATCTGCTTAGGTTGCCCATTATGAATACAGCGAATGGACAAAATACCAAATGAAAATCCAAGCATTGTGATGAATCATTTGAGCAAGAAAGTTCAATCAAGAAAATATGGTGTACTTCTAGAACAATGGAAAGCCATAATTTAGTAACACCAGAATCATTTTGAAAGAAGAAATTGATCCAATCGGATCATTAATAAATATCATTATGTGTGGCATTGCAATGAAGGCTACAATGTACACATGCTTCTTGGTTGCACCACTATGTGGATCATATCTAAACAAATTTCTAATACTAAAAATTTCTAAGGCTACGTTCTAGTGATATTCGCAATATTTCACTGACATTTCTGTTTTCTTCAATGAAAAAAATGGCAGCTTACTGCCATGGACAGGTATTCCACACCTTCACAAAATTACCTTATGTTTGTCCACTTGTATCTCCCAAAACCTACTCCAATCTCAAAAACAACACCTTGTAAAGTACTTCATACAAGCTGGAAACCAAACTCAGTAGCGTAAATTTATTCTTTCCCATTGAACCTTTTGCCTTTGCAATAAGGCATGTGTATGTCTAATAGGTTATTGCATTTATCACCCATCCTTTTGGAACATTTCAAAGGCTTTCATTGAATTTGCCTCCAAAATATCCCAATTCCCAACAATGTTGAAACAAATCAAATGAAAAACCAACAGGCCCGGAGCCTTCAAAACGACGGCTTTGTGTTTAGTTTTATCATACAATCCTTGTACACCTCTACCAATATTTGGGATATTTTTATTACGGCTCAGCTTTTGACTAAAATTATTTAATTCAACGACAATAGACTAATTTAATTTTCTTTATAAAATTAGTTTCCAAACCAAAATATCTTGGTTCCTTGAAGTTATAATATTCAATCAAAGTCATAACTTTCAAGGACAAAATGAAAGTTTCAATTTTTAGCCCTAAAAAACAACTAGAGAAGTATAGGGAGAGAAATTGCATCCACCAGTGAGGAACCAAAAGCCAGAATCTTAAGTCAATGTTCTTGAATGATGATAAAGATATCACTCACCCAACCATGTTACAACTTAAGCTGCATTGAAAAGATGTGAGGCGATAAAGATTATTCAGAAAAATTGATGGGTCATAATCCAATTGCAGAACCCGTTTTTTATTAGAGAAGAATAGCAAAACCGTTTTACTAGTTAAATCTCCCATAGTATTGTGAATTCTTCAGAATGTTGGTATTTAAAAGCTACAAAGTACAGAGGAGAACAGAATTTTAAAAAAATAAATAAATTGCACACCTCAATGACAACACACATTCCAGAACGATCACTTTCATCCCTAATATCGCTTATTTATTCTAAACTCTGTAGAAAAAAGGAAAAAAGTATAAAGAAAAGGGGAAAAAGAAAAGAACTAAAACGAGATAAGAATTAACA